TATCACTGAGTTACACGCAGCCCCCAGTTTCGAACATCTGACTTACAGGTAGCTCCTGCTTGTCCTTAATGTTATGTAAATTTGCTCTCATTTTGAAATGACTGAACCAGCCCCACTCACAACAAATTCTTCATCAAAATCACCTTCGCTTGGTGCATGTGCAGCTTTTAAATCATTGAAAAGGCTTCAAGGCTTTTCTTGCACTAAAGTCAGGCTAAATAAGAACCGTATGCACCAGTTCTGACTTACCTACAAATTCTTAAAGACACAGTTAGAAATGGATCTCATTTGTAACCTGGGGAAAGATTATATATTTATTCAATTTTTCATTCAATGAACAGAAGGAAAACTAAGGCAAAATAAGTACACTTTCCAATAATAATAATAATATGGTTCCCCAACTTTGTCTACTCCCCATTTACTCTAATCATTTTTCTACCAAAGAATTTGTGGTCCACACTCACAGTGCTGCAGCCTCAGTTGACTTTGTAAAGTAGTGATGTTGATGGTTGCAAGCTGCTCAGTGTTTAAAGGCTTAATGGCTGATGCTTATGAAAATATCACTGTGCATTTCCACATTGAAAAGCCCATTTATCGTGCATCCCTGAAGTCCTGTTCCAACAGGTAAATCTCTTTGACCAGAGAACTGCTATTTGGCCTTCCCACGTTGCACACTAGCCTCTAATATGATGTGTACAATTCTTGCCTATATCATTTCATTCTCTATTACTTGAAAAGAGTTTCCGGGTGGTGCAAACAGCTAACACTATCGATTCCTAACCAAAAGGATAGAGGTTGAGTCCACCCAGAGATGCCTTGCAAGAAAGTCCTGGTGATCAACTTAAGAAAAATCTGCCATGAAAATTCCTGGGGATTACGTGTCTCCTCTGACACATGGGACCATCATGAGTCGGAATCGACTTGCTGGTAACTGGTTTGATTTATAATTTGAAATGTACCCTTGAGGGGACTACACACTCTCAGAGTCCCTCTCGTGTATGTTGTAAGGCATTTCTAAAAGCATCTCGGTGTAAACTCGGGTCTACAGTAAGTGGCAGTTTCTTTAAAGCTCCTGAAGAAAATTGAAACTAAGAGTCCCTACTGACTACTCTGCTTCTGAAATAAGATTCTTTGTGGGTGTCAGAGCCTGTCATTCCTTCCCCACATCCCCTGCTTCTGTCCTCCGCCCTCCACGACAGAAGGGCCCTGTGTTTGGCCAGACAGTGACCATCCAAGTGGGTTTTCCAATACGCCTTCCTTCCTAACATAGAGTCATTCCCTGAATGATACCACACTTGTGTCATAATAACTCCACATGTAGCAAAAGCCCAAGTCACCGGAAAGGGGAGAGCTGAGGTGTGCAAAGGTGAGAAGTGCCACATGTTTGCCAACATCATCTGCCTGGCATCCATGCCTCCCTGTGTAGGCTGGCCAGGGGGACTGTGCCAAGAAGAGAGTGCTTCCTTGACAATGAGACATTTGAGAGAACTCTTCTTCTAAGCTCTTGAGAGCCAGGTTTTTTCCAACGGTTAAATGGAGTGAGACTCCCACTCTGACATGCTAGCGCTGCTGTTGTTGTTAGCTGCTGGTGAGGGGGGAGGTGGGTGGCGACCCCATGCTCAATACAAGATGTAGCCCTGTCCTGTGCCATCTCCCTGATCAGTTGCAGACCAGACCATTGTGAACCCTAGGATTTTCATTGGTTAGTTTTTCAGAAACAGATTGTAAGGCCTTTCTTCATAGTCTTAATCTGGAAGCTCTGCTGCAGTCTGTTCCCAGCATCCTAGCATCACGCAAGCCTCCACTGACAGCAGGGTGGTTGGTGCACATGAGCAGCATTGCCTGCAATTGAACCCAGGTCTCCTAAATGGAAGGTGAGGATTCTACCACGCCGCCACCAATGCCTCATCCTTGCACTATAAACAAAAAACAAACCCACTACCAGCAAGTTGATTCAGTCATTCACAATTCATAGCAGCCCTGTAAGGACAGAGTAGAACTGCCCCATAGGGTTTCCAAGGCAGCGGACAGCTGTATCTTTTTCCCATGGAGTGGAAAAAGTTTTGGTTAGCAGTTGAATACTTAGTCAATGTGACACTGGCCTCCTTCCTTGCACTATATACTATACAGCTACTAGAATTTCAAAGTCAGCAGGAAAGCTACACTAAGAAAACATTTGTGTTGTGGTAAGAACTGTTATGGGCCTGGTGGTGCAGAAAGGTTACAGGTTCAAACACACCAGCCACCTCACAGGAGACTAGACTGGCAATCAGCTTACATAAAGATTACAGCCCAGGAAACCCTAAGAGACAGTTCTACATTGTCCTATAGGATCACTGTGAGCTGAAATTGACTTGACAGAACGCAACAACAAAGAGCTGCTAAGTAAAGGAAACAACACCAGAGACCATCGTTTTCAGCTGAGTTATGTCTAAGGGATTTGAATAAACCACTTAAATATCAGAAGCATTACCAACTCAAACCAAGCAAAGTTTCTGGCAATGTGTTGAAAGGCTGATCACATTCCATCTGGTACATAGTCTCTGTAAATTCTCGGCCTTAGGATTCTGTTTCCTTCCGGATTTGGAAGTCCTCTGGTTTCCAGATTGTATAGAAAATTCAAGCTATTCGGAATGGAATTATCACAACTAGATCCAGGACACTCTCCAACTTGACTTGAATTCTGTCCATTTGTTAACGGTGAGAAGGAATGAAATCCGCTGCTTCTTTTAGTCTGTGGTCTGCATCCGGCTAGGAACCCGGATCCACACCTCCTGTCATAATGAGTCTTTGGGGGAAGAATGAAAAGTGTCTCTGCTGAATAGCTTAGTGATGTTGTGGGACTTAGATGTCAAGTGAAAAGTCAAGGTCGGAGGGTAGCTGAACCTTGGCTTGTCTCTCTTTCTTCTGTCCTTGGCTTTGATCATGCTACATCCTCCTTTGAGGCCAGGACTCCAGAGAGAGTCTCTGGGTCATGGCCTGTTGCCTAGTCAAGAGGTAAACCTGCTGCTTAAATATGTGAAGCCCGCGGCTTGGGGGTTGGGAACAAAGGGGAGGTAGCTTCATACGTTCCACATTTCCCACATAACCCAAAGCAGACTAAACAAAATCGGTGTGAAATCTGACTTGATGCTGCTGTGGTTACATTTTTGAAGCTGTATTCCATTCATTTGTATGTGTGTTTATTCCCAGAATTTACAGCTCTCTGTCTTTTGGGGATGAGAGTATCTAAAACGGTTGAGAAAGGGTTTGTAGGAAGCAGGGACTGTGATGACAACCCAGGGTAGAGCGAGCGTGTGTGTGTGTGCGTGTGTGTGTGTGTGTGCGTGCGTGTACGCGCGCATGCTCTCGCACGGACTCATGTGAGCGCCCATTCAGAGGAGGGAGGGGGTGATTTTTTTCCTTCCCGTTTGTTGCTCTTACGCACAAGTGTCACACATGGTAGCATTTAGGAGCCCTTCACAGCTGAAGTGTTTCAAACACTAATGAATGGAAGTTTGGTCATATAATGCAGACAAGCTTTAAGGCATGCTTTACTGAAGGGTGTACTGTAGTGACCTGGGAAAGGAAGAGAGGTATAAATTGTGTCAGTTAGCCACCCAGACAAAATGAAGCCATGTGGAAAATCAAATCTATTAAAGTATGAAGACTGTTAGAAGCTGTTTTAAGCAGGATTCTTAAAGGGGCTTCGTTAGCTGCAGGAGTAAATGTTTACCTCTTCTCCTACGTCTGTTTCACATGCCGTCCTAGGAGACTGCAGCGTTTGATAAAAATCATCCTCTCGCTAACGATGCTTTTATCAGAAATGTTTATTGTCTCCGCTTTACCACCCATGTCCTGAAAGGTACTGCGCAGTTGTTAAATAAGCAAAAGTAAAGAGGGCCGCACAGCTCAAGCAGGCTTGCAGAAACCCCAACAAATTCCAGAGCCATAAGGAGTCAGGGGGGGAAGAAAAAAAAAAAGGCAAAAGGCAAGAAGTAGTTAGATTTATATGAAGAGAAAGCCCTGCAAAAACATATATATTAGATTTTCTCTGCCTGGCCAGCCCACCATTAAATGTTTGGTTGATGTGGCTTTAGTGTTGAGATTAAGCAGTTATGCCAAATTTGGGTCATCGTCTTAAAATGTGCTTTAATAAATACGAGAATGAGGAAATAGATTTGGCAAGGCAGCTAATAGCCCGCTCCGCAGCTCTTTCTCAGACTCTCAGACTGCTGCGACGCTCCTGCGCATTTCGGCGCAGAGGTCACACACACGACGCGTCGTTCTGTGACTGTTGTTAAGAACCCCTGTAATCTTGACAGGAGCAGGTCTCCGAACCTTCCTCTGTGTAGCAGCTAAGCGTTTAACCATTGCGCCACCAGAGCACTTATTTTGGACATGATACTCTGGTAGCATAGTGGTTACGAATCGGGCTGCTAATCTCAGGGTCAGCAGTTCGAAACCACCAGCTGTTCCTCGGGAGAACGATGAGGCTTTCTGCTCCCGTAAAGATTTACAGCCTCGGAAACCCTGTACAGGGTCGCTATGGGTCAGGACCGACTCCACGGCACATAACAACAACAACTGTTATTGTCAATATTGAAGGAGGGATTTGTTCATGCCTTCAGAAAGCAACCTCTAAATGTATGTTGCCTTACTTGTATGCTGGTTTCTGAAAATAATGAATACCAGCTTGCTGTCAGAGAAAAATATGTTGTTTTGTACTCTAGTTGGTGAGTAAGCTTACATTGGCCTGACGTTCTCTGGATAGGAAAACAGTTGCATTTGCTGATGAGCTGCCATGATGTCAAATCCTAAGTCAACAGCGGCTAACGACTGCTCTGGGAAAGAGCACCTGGATTCCTCAGTTAAGGTTCCAGAAGGCCTAGAATGAGCAGCTTGCCAATCCTCCTCTTCCCCTTTCGAGACGTGCATAATGTGTTGTGGAAACAGGTCACCTCTGAGCTGTTTGCAAGAACAGGGTTCACAGTAACGGTTGTGCTCTTTGTGTGTTGCAGGAGGAGACTGAAGAGACATCCTCACAAGAGTCTGCGGAAGAGGATTAGGGGGCGCCAACCTTCAACTTCTACCTCAGCAGCAGTTGGATCTTTTGAAGGGAGAAGACACTGCAGTGACCACTTATTCTGTATTGCCATGGTCTTTCCACTTTTCATCTGGGGAGGGGTGGGGAGGGGTAGGGAAGGGCGGGGGTGGGGGGAGAAATCACATAACCTTAAAAAGGACTATATTAATCACCTTCTTTGTAATCCCTTCACAGTCCCAGGTTTAGTGAAAAACTGCTGTAACACAGGGGACACACAGTTTAACAATGCAACTTTTAATTACTGTTTTCTTTTTTCTTAACCTACTAATAGTTTGTTGCTCTGATAAGCAAGAGTGGGTGGGTGAGAGGAAGTTGGAATCCGGTTAGTCAATCACTGCACTGCATACCAACAAGGAATGAGTTGCTCTTGTGACGTCGGGCATTCATATAGGAAACAGCGCCCAAACCCGCTCACTGCCGTAGTGATTCCTGTTTAGAACACCAAAGATAAGGAATAGATACTATTCTCTCTCTCTTTTGTATAATCTTGTAGGCATTTACTTGATGATTTTTAACTTGTATTTCTAAATGAGACGAAATGCTGATGTATCCTTTCATTCAGCTAACAAAGCCAGAAAAAGGTGATGTTCATTTTTCAAAAAGGGAAGTAAGCAAACAAATATTGCCGACTCCTATATTTATGGCTGTCACACCTATCAGCAGGAGTAATAAATTTACTCATAGTACTCATTTTCAGGAAAACACCCATCCGGGTAGAATCTACTTCCTACGGAGCCAGATGCCATTTAGCAATAAATAACACTTGTCAGCCTCAAAGCCTTTCAGGAACCTAGACAAGTTATCTTAGCCTCTTTATAAATTAATGAAAAGGTACAGCAGAATAATACATGATGAACTCACCTGAATTATGAGGTGGGAGGAGCGAAATCTAAATTTCTTTTACTATCGCTATCGTACAGTTTTAAAAAAAGGAAGAAGAAAAAGAACATAAAAGACAGTCTGTCTCTTTTCATTGTGTATCAGTTTCCGTGAAAGACCTAAATACCACTTACCTCAAAGCAAGCTTATGTGTTACTTCAAGTAATACGTTTGACATAGGATGGTTGGCCGAGGTGCCTTATTTCGGCTTCAGTTCACCATCTCCATACAAACTGCACTTTTAGCCAGAGATGCAATATATCCCCACTACTCAATACTACCTCTGAATGTTACAATTAATTTACAGTCTCGTACTTATTACATGCTGCTATACCCAAGCAATGCAAGAAAAAGAAAAAAAAAAAACCCTTACTGGGTAGGTGATGCTAATCATCTGCGTTTTCTTTTTGTACATTTCATTACAGTTAAAGAAGCAATCTCCTTACTGTGTTTCAGCATGGCTGTGTATTTTTCTTTCTTTTTGTTTTTATAATAACAATTTTACCAATACTTGTTTCAGCTTCTCTGCTAGATTTTCTACATTAACTTGAACTTTTTTTTTTTTTTTTTTTTAAACCAAGTCGCTCCTAGATTCTTAGGGATAATATTCCTCAATCACACTACATATCACACCAAATTTGACTGTCATGTTTAAATATGACCTTCCAAGTTTGTACCTCAAATGAATTGTTTAAAGAAATGAACTAATTGACTTGCAAATACCTACCTCCAGACTCCACAAGGAATGAACTTGTTACTTGCAGCATTCATTGATTTTTCGGATGCTTGAAATCGCTCAAACTGCAGCTATCCCTAATCAAAACTATTTTTGTAAAAGAGATTTGCTAGGAAGGAACATGCTTTTAAATACATTTTCTAAATTAAATAAAAGGCAGCCTTCAAAGAAACTTGAAGCTTTGTAGGCAAGGTGCAAGAAGCTCAGCTTTTACATGATGCAATCAAGAATATGTGTTTTTAAGATCTGTAGAATATGAGAAAATGCTTGACAGATATTTTCATGTATTTTACACAAATGTGATTTTTGTAATATGTCTCGACCAGATTTATTTTAAGCGCTTCTTATGCAGAGTTTTTATTCCTTTCTCTCCTTGTGAGTGTGCCAACTTTTTAACACGGTATTATCAACTGGGCCAGGAGGTAGTTTCTTGTGATGGCTTGTGTCAGTATGGCTTTTAGTACTGAAGCCAAATGAAACTCAAAACCATCTCTCTTCCAGCCACTTCAGGGAGGTAGTTTCAGAAGCTACATACCTCTCTGAGGCTGGAAGACCGCTCACTGTTATGAATCACCAAAGGAGCTATTGAAAGAATTAAAACTCAAATGTTACTGTTCACTGTGCATTCAATAAGCAAATAAACAGTGGCTCGTAAAAATGAAAGTTCCATTCCATATCTTTGGTTGGGCCTTTGTTAGAAAACCTCATTGGCCAGCTCATAAAACTGAAGCACGTTGGCCAAACTCGGACCACCGAGCAATTTCCATCTCTGATGAAGTTACTTTTATTTCCTATACGTTGTACAATCAAAACACACGACTACCTCTTAAGTCCCAGTATACCTCATTTTTCATGCTGAAAAGGAAAAAAAAAAAAAAAAGCTTGTGGCCAATGGAACAGTAAGAACATCATAAAATTTATATATATATAGTTTATTTTTGTGGGAGATAAATTTTATAGGACTGTTCTTTGCTGTTGTTGGTCGCAGCTAAGTAAGACTGGACATTTTAACTTTTCTACCATTTCTGCAAGTTAGGTGTGTTTGCAGGAGAAAAGTACCAAGACGTTGAACTGCAGTTGGCTTTCTCCCTGTTCTTTTGAGTGTCTTCTAACTTTGTCCTTTGTTCTTCATGTAGAGTTGCTGTCTATGATTGTACTTGGAATTGCTTGCTTGTTGGATTATTTCTCCAGTGGATTGTCACTGTCTTGTTCTGCACAATAAACATAACAGCCTCTGTGATCCCAGGTGTTTTGATTTCTACTCATTGTCACAACTCCATTAAATGAGTGGTAAGGAGGGGATATTCACAAGTCACCTGGTTGCACCCCCTGCGTTCTATTACACCCACACCTGCACACACCAAAACGCTGACAGAAAATGTGCTTTTAACCATGATGCCTCTTAAAGCAACTGCCCTCACAGTTTGATTTTCAGTTCTCCAAAGGCAATAAACTATGTTAAATCCACAGCACCTGTACTGCAGGCTAGCATCTACAAAGTGGGTATCACTATATATACCAGTAACCTTTGAAATAGTATTTGGAGAGGAATCAAAAAACTGATGAGAAGAATACTAAGCAAAAGCCACAAACTTTCCATTAAATAGCAGTCTCTCCTTTTTTATTAGAGTAAAAATTGAGTAACATTTTGCCAATTGCACAATTTTCATATGTAAAATTCAGTGACATTTTTTATGTCCATTGTACTCTGCTCCATCACCACATTCCTTTTCCAAATTACTTAATTTTGTTGTTAAATGCTGTCATGTTGGTTCTGACTCATAGATAACCCTGTATAGGGTTTTCGAAGAGCGGCTAGCAAGTTTGAACCACCGACTTTGGTGTTAAGCAGGTCAGGATTTTGCTGTTAAGCAGGTCAGTGCTTATCCTACAGTGCCACGCCAGGATTCATTTGCTTACTTAAGTAGGAATCACTTATTCCGTATAAGACCATTAGCATAATTGTGCCATCAAATGTAAGGTCATTGGTACACCTCACTTACTGGTTATGAATAAATCCAGGCTTTTTAAGAACCTAAATCCTTTGGTTTATACAGCCACCATTTTGACTAGACTCTTTCTTCATTTATAACCTCATTCCCTCATTCATTTCTTCTCACAGCTAATAATTTGTGAGTTTTTAATGTGTGCAAGACGCCATGATATCTGTCCTTCAGAAGACTGTCTTGCTGGAGAAAATAAAGAAGGTGAAGAAATGGTGACAATACACTAAGCAAATGGTTAAAACAACAAATTGCAAGAATTCAGAGGCAAGAAAAACATTTTCTGTTGGGCTTAATCACTTACCCACAGTTCAGCCTAATAACAGAGAGATAGATTAGCCAACTGTTTAATATAACTCACGTGTCATCTCTTCATTTTTATTGATACAGAAAAGCACATTAGAATCAATTCCTTGTAGAAAATGAAAAACCGAAAGGGAATATTCGCTTAAGAAAGGGTATATTATGTCTAGAATGAGGTTAAGGAGATGAGTAGAATAAAAAACATTGATCCTCCTTTGGAGTTGATTCTCACTGAATAATTTCTGAATTAGGTTAATTTAGAAAAAAATGCAAGTTATTATGTGAAGGATTCTTGTGAGTTGAAATCTAGATTCAAAGAGAGTGTCCAAAAAACAAAACAGCAATGCATTCAAATATGTGTGAAGCCTCTAGTGTGTTAATGTATATACCAGATAGGGAAGATATCTCTTATCTCTGCCCACAAAAAACAAAACCTTTGCTGTGGAAGCTATATCCAAGAGAGATCTGTGTAAGTAGAGCCTTACTGAGGTACTCGAGAAAGTGGCGGGATACTCCCTGAACCCCCTGCCAATACCAGGGAGGAACATCAGGCCCTCTTACAAAAGGGCTTTCATATCCCCACTGAGAGGTATCCTGGGGCTACATGGACAAGTCTCAGCCAGTGTAATATTTCATATGGAAGAATGAGTGTTTTTCAACAGGGTTGTTACATCGCTCTAGGATCAACACTGGGCTGCTAACTGCAAAATCAGCAGTTCAAACCCACCAGCCGCTCCTTGAAAACTACAGGTTTGCTATAAGTCGGAACCAACTCAACGTCACTTAACAACAATGAGGGTACTTGGGAATCCCTGGATAGTACAAGAATTAACATGTTCAACTGTTAATCAAAAGGTTAGAGATCCAAGTCCACCCAGAAACAAGTTGAGGAAAAACGAAAAGCAGGCCTGGCAATGGACTTCTGAAAAATCGACCATTGAAAACCCTATGGAACACAGTTCTACTCTGACACATGTGGGATCGCCTTAAGTTTGATTCCGTTTTTTGGGTTTTTTTAAAGTGTATTCATCTCTTTGGTAA